GGGATCGGTCATACGTGGCTCGAGCCTCGGGGAGTGGATTTGGTGATAGGGTTGGGGAGGCGTTGGTGTAGGTTGGTACTGTAGGGTAGGTAGGTATTTGTTTTGGGATTTTAGTATGGTTCTTGAGAGAGATGATGGGTTGATTGTGAGGTAGGTTCTTTTATTATATTTGAAGCTGAATAGGTGTTAAGAAGAACATGATCCCGAGTTGAGGTTTTAGAATGAAAATAGAAATAGAAATGAATTATCAGATTCCTCGACTTCATTTGAGAAGTCGTACACTACACTGTCAATCCCACACCCACTAGCAAGTACCCAATACAAATTTCCCGACCCAGAAATTGGACTATTTTGGATGTAATTTGGCGTAATACAAACATAAGTACAGTACCTACTGTATATCAGGCCCCCAAATTCCAATTCCGAAATTCGGAGACGAGGAAACAAGACCCTCCCTCCTCCCTATCATCTATCATAAACCAACAACCAACCAACCAACCAAACAAAAAGTCTTCCCCGCGTCTTCGTTCGAAGTCTACGTAATACGTCAACTAACTTTTGTCGTTGCCTGGATTGTGTGTACACGAATCATCAACGTCCTTCTCTATTCTTTATTCTTTTACCTCTTCTTTTTCTTCCATTATTAACTCATTGAGATTTTCTCGGGGTAGTAGTCTAGTGTTAGTACGGTGTAATTGGATCTATGTAGATGGTATAGTACTCACTTATCATGACTCTTCCCTCATCCCCTGTCCCAAAAAGGGAATTTCTTACTCCGGGGTTTGAACTCCGATACTACACCTTGATGGTACTGTATGGTGTAAGCACAACCTTACATACCTTACTCCGAGAGATATATCGGATTGTTTCAATTTAATTCGATCATTTTTCTGATGAGATTAATCTTCTTAAGAATGGGCAGTGGGTGGGTTATGGTATATTTTGTTACAGTCGTCTTATTCTTCTTTTCCATGTATAAATCAGAGGCTCGACTCTGATTAAATTCGCGAGTGAGAGGACGGGGGAAGATTTATGGTTGAGTCGGGTGTGTAGTCATCAATCAATACAGTAGGCTTACACCGCGTTCGGCATTTGGAATTCCTTTCCATTCCAGACCCCCTATGTGGAATATTCCATTCCATTTGTTATAACCTCTGGAATATACCATATTCCATAGTGGAATTATGGAATTCCATAATGGAACTAATCATGTGATTTATAAGATAGTCGCTAGCTACTAGGCAGCTTATACTTGGCCTACTAAACATAGACCATGCGTATTAGGAATATTTTACCTGGCTCTTGGGCTTACCTAACTCTACCTAGGATATCTAATATCAGAACGTGATTTACCCAACTTTTTGTTCACTTAACCATACTATTATTACTATTGCTTAGTCATAAGCTGGGGCTTAGTCAGCCCCCCCCTGGTTCTCTAAATGAAGAATCCTTAACTTATATATAGTAGTATATATATATACATATGTATCCCTGGGAATTCCATAATTCCAGAGGCCTCTTCTCTGGAATATTCCATTCCATTTCAAAGGAGGCTGGAACGTTCCATATGGAATGAGATTCCATATATTCCATGGAATCGTGTTCCAGATGCCGAACGCTGGGCTTACAGTAGAATCTGAGGCATCATATGGTATGCTACTTTAGTCATAGATAAGTTGTGACTCAGGCTCTTAGTTTTCAAAACATGGTGTTTTCCTCTGGTGGTTAGTAACATTACACCGATTCTCAGTATAGGACGTTCCTGCCCACACGAAGCCTTCTAGAGTCTCTTTTGGGGATCCGAGGGACGAGGAATAAATCCACACCGAGACGAGAGGATATTAAACTAGATTGCATCAGCGTGTTTAATTCGATTAGTTGGATTTGGTTAGTAGCACCTAATCAACTCAACTCGCCAAGTAATCGATTAACTCATGATTAACTCGATTAGTGTAGGCCCGATACCCCGCAATAAGACCGGCCTCGCTAGCCGGACTCCGGCCGGTCGGTCCACGTAGCCGAATTCCCCTCTATCAGGCATATACTATTTTCTTGTATTATAGTCACTAGTGGTCACGTTATATATAACTACTTGAGTATCAATCGATTAGTCAAATCCACTAATCAACTCAACTCAACGGAATCCACTAATCATACTCATTCAACTTAACTCGAATACTACTCGAGTAGCGTTGAGTAGTTGATTAGTTTTGTTGACACGCTGGATTGCATTATACCCCTCTTAATGCCGTAAATAGCCTCTCTTTTCCCCCTTGAGCAGGGATGGTATATTAGTCCTAAGTTATTAGTTTACCCAGCACATACAGTGCCTTTCAAAGAGATGGCTGCTAGAAAAAAAGAATGAAGAAAAGAAAAGGCTTTCTTGAAGTATACAACGACTAATTATATACCTAGAATAGCACGTGGACTTCCTGCTACTTGCAAAGCTCACAACCATCAATCTACTCACAAGCATTATACCTACCTACCTACCTACCTACCTACCTACCTACCTATCCACACCTTTACTCGCACTATCACTCTATACTTAAGCACACATTCTCATCAAAGAATCTATCCCTACCAAGCCTCCTCTTTCTACACTCCGCTATTGTCGAATTACGCTACATACATAGCCTCATCACCTCCCCCCCCCCCC